GTCCACAGAGCGCTTTTGATCTGCAAAGTATTTGTTGTGCGCGATGAGGACAGCGTCCCACTCATCGCGGCACAGGGGCAACTATTTTCGAGCGTGTCAAGCAAGTGCTCGATTTCGGGAGCCGAGAATCCAGAGCCACGAACAGGCGTTGGTTTGCTGGAAGATTTTCGGTTGGGAGGTTTTTGGATCCCGACAGTGGGTCCCGGCTGTGATCCAGAATAAGGGTAGGAGCCACCGTAGCCGTGGGTCACGCAAGCAGATATTCGGGGGGTCTGCGTTTGTGCGGTTTCGGTAGGGTCGCCTAGAGGATTTGAATCGAAGACAGAGGGGCAACGAGAAGGTGGAAGCGGTTCAACACGAAGGTTTGGGTTAGGGGTAGAGGGGTTGGGTGATGGAGATGGGGGTGAAGCGGAGGGGGATTGTGTCATGGTGGGAGAAAGGGATCGAGGTAGAGGGATTGTGTGACGGAGATGGGGATGAAGGGTAGAGGGATTCTGTCATGCCACGAGGAAGCTTCGCTAGGGATCGAGCTACCTCAACGGCGGGAAATCGGCGGGTGAAATATGTGTTTGTGCTTTTGGCTGTGGACACAAATCGTCTTCCAAGGGGGTTCACATCAGCAGAAGGTGATGCGCACAAAACAGCAATTTGTGCAAAAAGGGTGGTATCAAATAGGGTGTTTGTGATTTCAGGAGCATCCCATTGCTGTATCTCTTCTAGTATTGACCTAATGAATAAGCTGTGCCCAGAATGAGATGGGGAATGAGATTCCGCGCGCGACTTTACTGTACTTGGACATACTCAAACGTTTCGGCTTCCCGCCATTCGCGAATTGGCTAGAATATATAGGTAACTATGGCGATCTCAATGTGGTTCCAAGAGCCATGAGTGTGCGCCGAGCTGCTGCACGAAAGAGAGTGCTAGCAGCTCGCTCTGGGCATGCGCTTGATTCTTGTTCCGAACATTAAATGAGATAAAATTTGATGATTCCAGTCACTGGGATATGCACCGTGGCGTTCAAATAATAGGCGCAATGTTCGGTGACGTGTATCTTCAGATCGTGTTTGATACAAAGAAATGCCATTTGTAACCAGTCCTGGCGTCCTCTAATTCATGAGTACACATGAGTACAGTAGGGTTCAGGGCATTCGGAGCTCTCGTTTGGTGGCGGTTTCGTCCTGGGACGTAAAGGGTTTGTGAGGCGTTCAAGAAAAGGGTGACCCCACTTGTATACCAGTATACACACCGTCACTCCCCCGCATCTCCCGACAATCCCTTCCCCTTCCAACCCCCCCTTCCAACCCCCTTCCAAACCCCATGGGTAGGGGTATGTGTGTCTGAACTCCTGCGTCTGGAGACTTCTTCCCCTCTGCTCCGCAC